GAGGCAAGTCCTGGCTCCCCCCCCTCCGTGTTCTTTCGGGGCCAGCACTGACCTTGCCTGGGGTTTGGAGGGACTCGGCGGCACCTGTTTTCTCGCCCCGCTGTTGAGTTGGGCGCTGTCGCCGGGAGGCAGAGTCCTCTGCACTCAAGTCGGTGCTCAGGAGTTCGCTTGGCTCCTGGCCGGTGCCCGGACTGTCAGACACAGAATGGGGTGTTGGGGCAGGGGAGTTTGGGTGTTTGTAAGTTTGTGTATTTCACATCGAGTTCTGCAACACAGAAGAGATCAGTTTTCTATCAAGATCCTGGGTTTTGATAGTTTATAAAAGCCAAATGGTCCAGTATCACCAAGTTCCAGTATTTAAAAGTGGCTACAAAGATGGAGACTCCATTCTTACAAGGAGTCACGTAGAGAAGATGAGGAGTGACGGGTACAAGTTGCTTCTGGGGAGATTCAGACTGGACACAAGAAGAAATTTTTTCACTGTGAGAACAGTCAGCCATTGGAATAATCTCCCCAGGGAAGTGGTGGATTCCCCAACACTGGACAATTTTAAGGTTCAGCTACACAGGGTGTTGGGCCATCTTGCCTAGATCATGCTTTTGCCAGGAAAGGTTGGACTAGATGATTCTTGACGTCCCTTCCAACCTGGTATTCTGTGAGTCTGCTGCTGGGCTTTTCCCTCATGGCAAAGGGAGAAAAGACCAGGGGAAGGGAAGGTCCTCTACAACCTACTGTAGGTGACCCTGCTTCGGCAGGGGGGTCGACCAGACGACCCAAAGAGGTCCCTTCCAACCCCTACCATTCTGTGATTCTGTGAAGGGAGATGGGACAGTGAACATGGTGTGGGGCAGCGTGGGACTAGCAGTGACCTGGTCTGTCCTACAAAACTAGCAGCAAACCAGCCGGGAGCATCGCTGCCGTGCTTCTCTTGGGTGGGTGTAGGTGGGTTTCGGCACAGCTGGCACCACAAAAACTTGTTGGAGCGGTTGTGCCCCTGGCTGCCTCCCTGCTGGTGGGGTTTCTGACAAAGTTTGGGGTGTGTATTTACTGTGATGACACTTGTTGGTGTAGACAGAGCTGCACGAGGTGAAATAAATGCATATTGTTTGTAGGAAGAGTGGATGGATCTCTTATAGTAGTGACTCTCTTCTCCAAAAGCCGGTATAGAAGAAATATAAGCAATGTATACAGCCTATACTGTGCAGGCCCTGGTTGCAGCATGGGGTGGGTCTG